CCGTCTCTCACACAGCCATCACCACCCTGAGATCTGGCTGTTGCTGCCTCTAGGATGAATTATAAACAATTCTCTGTTTCCCTGGGTCACTTACTGAAGATTCATAGTTCTGAGTGGGATCAATGATTTGGCACACTTTTGAAGGCACAGTTCTGTGACCTTCCTGTCAGGAGTCAAGGGAGCAAGTATCTGACCTCCCATCAAAGATTTCCATTAAGGAGGATCCTCCAACACAGGAAGGAGACTCAGATGCTGGGCAGCTGATGACCCCAGTATGTACCCACATACAGGTTCCTGGGCATGTCACTGAAGCCCTTCACCATCTGCCACAAATGATCATTTCCAGATTTTTCCCTTGCACACCATGCTGCACTAAAACAGGACTCTATGCAGTCCCCTCAGTTGATCCTTCCTCCTCAGCCTCTTGTAGCAGCTTATCTCCAAAGATCATTGAACCAAACTTCCTGGTATTCATACCCATGTTCATCCATTCTCCTTGAATCTGGCTGGGCCTGTATTCATTTTCACTTATGCTGTGAAAGTGCTGCAGCATGACTTCCAAGGAGAGGTCATAAGAAGTCTTGCAGCCCTGGCCGGGTTGGCTCAGTGGATAGAGTGTCGGCCTGTGGACCAAAGGGTCCTGGGTTTGATTCCGGTCAAGGGCAAATACTTTGGTTGCAGGCTCCTCCCCAGGCCACACTCTGGTCTGGGTGCATGCAGGAGGCACCCAATCAATGTGTTTCTCTCGCATCGATGTTTCTCTCTGTCTTTCCCTCTCTCTTTCACTCACTCTAAAAGATTAATGAAAAAATATCTTCGGGTGAGGATTGAAAAAAAAAAGAAGAAGTCTTGCAGCTTCTGCCTCAGCCTCTTAGAATGTTTACTTTGGGGGAAGGCAGACACCATGAATGAGGTCTGTCTACTCTGAGACCACCTAAGCACGAGGGAGTCTCATGCTATCAGGAAGCCTAAGTCTGCAGGCCGATGCTCTATCCACTGAGCCAAACCGGTTAGGGCCAAGGTCTAATTCTTAACACTTATGAACGATCTGTTTTTGAACAAAGACCTTAAACATCTGAGCCTTACCCTCCTCATATGTAGCATGAGTTTGATGCTATCTTTGTAATGGGGCTTAACTGGGCTATGGACTGGGTTGTCTCATGATTGTAGGCAACACTGCTCCCTCGAGGCAGAATGCCCAGAACCCTTAAACCTGCATGGCATCAGGAATCCTTTGGAAGAGAATAAAAACCATGCCCACAATTGGGGTTCAGGCATGAACAGACAAGTCTAGTGGGCCAGGGGACTGTGGTCAATGCCAAACTGCAGGGAGGAACAGCAGAGGCCCTAGGAGTTCATCACCCTGAGTGAGAAAGTTCTTCATGAAAGAGGAAGGGGTACACAAAACAGAGCAGGGAGAGGAGTGTTATCTGGAATGATGTGAGGCTGAGTATGACCATCCTGTGGCTCAGCATCATGATACCCTACTCTGCCAGGGTCGGATTTCATTTCTCCCTCCATTCATTCATTCACTCATTCATTTATGGTTTGTAACAGCAGCTCCTACACATCGAACACTGTACCACATGTAAGGGGATAAAAAGATTAGCAGTCGCTCTTCCTCGGCGCTGCCTACAGAGGTGGCAGCCATCTCCTACCCGGCACCATGGCCGCCGTCAGACCCCTCGTGAAACCCAAGATTGTCAAAAAGAGGACCAAGAAGTTCATCCGGCACCAGTCAGACGGATATGTCAAAATTAAGCGGAACTGGCGGAAACCCAGAGGCATTGACAACAGGGTGCGTAGAAGATTCAAGGGCCAGATCTTGATGCCCAACATTGGTTATGGGAGCAACATTGGTTATGCTGCCCAGTGGCTTTCGGAAGTTCCTGGTCCATAACGTCAAGGAGCTTGAAGTGCTGCTGATGTGCAATAAATCTTACTGTGCTGAGATTGCTCACAACGTCTCCTCAAAGAACCGCAAAGCCATTGTGGAAAGAGCAGCCCAGCCATCAGAGTCACCAATCCCAATGCCAGGCTGCGCAGCGAAGAAAACGAATAGACAGATTGTGTACACATTGTATTTGTGTTAATAAAATCATAAAATTCTGCCAAAAAAAAAAAGATTAGCAGTCGCTTCCATTCATTTGGGTGTTTATTTTGGAGTAGGCACTGAACAGACACCCAGCACTCACAATGATCCCAGGAAGTATTATTATTCCCATCTGTCGGTTGAAGGGTCTCAGAAAAGTTAAGGAAGTTGCTCAAGGTCACACAACACAGAAAGTGTCTGGATTTTCATTCCAACCTTATTCTGTGTGAATCCAAAACTGGGACGCGTTTCACTAATAGGGAATAGGGTGTGGCGGGATATGCTAACAACCGGGCCTACCACCGCAATGAGGCCTCAGAGCTGGGTCAGGGCTGTCTAGGTTTGAATGTTGGTTGCTTCCTTTCTGTGGTCCTCCTCAAGCTCCTTCTCTTTTGAGCCTCAGTGCCCCGCTCTGTATGATAAGAGGCTAAAAACACACCTTTCTCTCGGGGTTACTGTGGGGATTAGATTCGATGGACAGGGGTAGAACCGGGTGTCTGGCACCCTGTGAGCGCCCAGAACAGGCAGTCAGTCATTCGTATCTGAGTGCCTATCATCCCCCCAAACGCGGCAGAACTCCACCCGGGCCGGGGTCCGGCGGCACACGGCGTGGAAGGCGGTTCCCTGCCCTTCGGCTTCAGATCTGAACCTTTAGGGCCCCGGGGGCCTGCATAGCCCCGTCCATGCTGCTAGGAAACGGGTTGGGCTAAGAGCTCCGTTCCCATCACCCCCGGGAGCAATCAGCCCCGGCACCTCCGCGGGGAGGGCTGTCCACGGGCGGCTCGGGCAGGCGAGAAGTCGCGATGTCGCGAGACCTGGCGGGACCAATGGGCTTCCGGGCCGGAAGTGAGGGGCGGGAGTGAGGGAGCGCGCCCCTTTTGAAACCGGAGACGCGGGTCTGCAGAGGAGAAGGGCAGGTTGGAGTTTTTTGTACCTTCAGGGACTAGAGGGGAGGCCGCAGCCGGGAGAAGTTGGCTCAGCGGAGACTTCTACGGAAGGTTGCGCTGCAGCGGCCACAGCTTAATTCCCTGGGCAGCTACCACGGGCCGGCCACGCGCTGTGAACCAGGTCGGAGAGGTCATCTCTGCTTCCCCAGCGCACAGCCGGGGCCGCTGCGCCTTCCTGCCAACATGAGTAACATTCCCCACGTTGGTTGAGCCTTTGAATGAGTCTTGTGGTCGCAGAGGTGGTTTGCCTAACGCTAATGAAACTTCACCTTCAGGGCCCTCTCTTGCCCGGCCCCCTCCATGGCATGAAAGAGGCCTTACGATCATCTTTTTATAAAATTAGCCAAACTGAAATATTTTAGCCTTTGTCTTTCCCCTGAGACTTCCCTATCCGGGGGCATTGAAGTGGCTGCTTGTAGGCATTTTGGAGTAGGGTATATTCTTTTTCTTTTTTTTTAATATATTGATTTTTTTTTTTTTTACAGAGAGGAAGGGAGAGGGATAGAGAGTTAAGAAACATCGATGAGAGAGAAACATCGATCAGCTGCCTCCTGCACACACCTTACTGGGGATGTGCCCGCAACCAAGGTACATGCCCCTGACCGGAATCGAACCTGGGACCCTTGAGTCCGCAGGCTGACGCTCTATCCACTGAGCCAAACCGGTTAGGGCAAGGGTATATTCTTAATTTAAGTGGGATTTACCTACTTATCTACCTACCTACTTAAGATTCCTGAATACCTTATTGCCAGCCTTCCCAGTGAAGGGGTGGCTTCTAGGAATACTCCAGGGCTGAATTACAAGCATGGTGACCTGAAGGTGCCAGAGGTCAAGCAGCAGAAGAATGAGGAGATATAAAATATCACTGCACAAGAAATGTGAAAATCCTAGAAATCTTATAGCTCACAAAGAAAAGAAGTGTGAAATCTCTAAATCTTGATTTTTGCCCAAGTTGACAATCAGCCTAAAATAATGAATTGGGAAGTTGAGTTTTCTAAACTAGCAATAATAAAGAACAAATCTTGATCAACCACAAGAGAGAAAAGACTGATTTATCTTCCTGTTCTCTCCACAGAAAGCATTACAAAATTGTTACCTTTGAGGCCATTAAAGAATATGCAGCCAAAAGTAGTGGGGGCAAAAGTGTATAGACCAAGAAGTTAATTTAACAAATATATTAATTTTTGTGTGATTTTGGGGGGTATTTGTTAACTTAAAAAATTGTAGCTTGATGTAATTTCTCATTATAAATACATGTTCACATTTGTACCTAATTTTGTTTTTGTAATTGTGTTTATAATTGTATATTTTTCTTAAAAGGGTCCCATGAAATGATATAAACTTCAGGCCCCACAAAATCTAATCCTTACATGGCTGTTCATTCCTCCTAACCACTCTGATCAGGGCAGGACATGTGTTTATTCCTTTAATTTTTGAGATGAGGTGATGGAAACCCAGAGGTGTTAAGTTACTTTCCCAAGGTTCTGCTACTGTGACTGGTAGAACTAGAGTTAGAACCTAGCCTTTTTTTTTTTTTTAACTTTTTTTTTTAAAATATATTTTATTGATTTTTTACCGAGAGGAAGGGAGAGAGATAGAGAGTTAGAAACATCGATGAGAGAGAGACATCGACCAGCTGCCTCCTGCACATCTCCTACTGGGGATGTGCCTGCAACCCAGGCACATGCCCTTGACCGGAATCGAACCCGGGACCCTTCAGTCCGCAGGCCAACGCTCCATCCACTGAGCCAAACCGGTTTCGGCAGAACCTAGCCTTTTTGATTCTCACTCCAGGGGCAGGTGCCCTATTCCAAACTTTTCACCTTTTAGTGAGTGGGGCTTGAATGTATCTATTTGGTCTGCCTCTGGGGTTTGGATTGTAAATAGTCCAGATGAGAGGCCCAGTAAAGCTAAAAAGAAACAAATTGTGTTTCTGAACTGCCCCCAAATCTCAGATGATGGCAGCCTTCTCTGTATCCTCCCTGCTAGTGATGAAAGAAGGACAGCATCTGGTGGAGAGAATGGCGGAAGAACTGCAGCCATAGGTCCTCCCTCTGTGTCAGGGTAAGTGTGGAATCCTGGAATAGAAACAGAATCAACTGGTGAACTGACTATATGTGAATATGCATGCAAACATGTCTTTTGTTATTTTTCAAGGCAAGTATATTTTTGGTCGGTTTCCCTGGAGATTTGAGAATATGGAGAGGCCTTACCAAGTGTAGTTTAATTTTGCCAGCTCTGCTTCCTTTCCAATTCCCAAAATTAGTCATCCCATCTCTTCATCTAGACCGATTTTGTCCAAGGTCACAAAACTTAATTGTTAAATCCAACTTTTCAGTCCTTATCTTAACTGACTCTTCCCTGCTACAGGTATTCTTTTTAAATGTAAATCTGATCCATCTTCATTTTGAATCCCTCAATAGCTCCACATTGCTTTTAGAATTGAGATCCAAATCTGAGCTGCCTGATCAGATCCAGCCCTCTCCAGGTCATCTCAGTCACACACACTGATCTTTCATTTCTCTAATGAGCCATATTCTCTTCCTTTATCCATTGCATATAAATATATATGAAATATATGTGTGTGTGTATATCTACTATTTTATTTATACTAATGTATATATGCTTGTATTTTGGCACCAGTATGTGTGTATGTATGTACACATATATACTATTTTATTTGTACCTACATATATGTATACTATTTTACTTACACCTATTATTTTCCAGGCATTGTTTTGGTGCTGGGACACAACAGCAAACAAAGCAGGCAAACATTGCTGCTGTTCTGGAACTCACCTTCTGGGATTGTCTTTTGCTGGAATGCTCTTCCCCTTCCCTCTTTTTATTTTTTTCATGTATCATAAAATTTATCCATTTAAAGTGTACAATTCAATTTAGTATATGCAGAGTTGTGCAACCATTGCAGCAATTTTAGAACATTTTCATCACCCCAGAAAGAAAAAATTTTAGAACATCTTTGTCACCACAGAAATTTTATACTCATTAGTAGTCACTCCCCTTCCCCCTTGCAAATCTCCCCAGCCCTGAGTAACCAATCTACTTTCCATCTCTGTAAATTGGAAAATTCTGGACATTTCTTATAAATGGAACCATACATTATGTGATCTTTTGTGACTGGCTTCTCTCACTTAGCATAACATTTTCAAGGTTCCTCCATGCTGTCATGCTGAGGCATGTATCAGTACTTTACTTCCTTCTTCTTTTTTTTAAATTGAGATATAATTGGCATATAACATTGTATAAGTTTAAGTACTCTATTTCTTTTTATTATGAAATAATATTCCATGGTATTCTATATCACATTTTGTTTATACGTAAATTGCAGGACATTTGGGTAATTTCCACCTTCTGACTACTGTAAATAATGCTGCTATGAATAGTTGTGTATAATTTTTTGTATGAATAAATGTTTTTCTTTTCTTGGGTATATACCTAGGCGTAGAATTGCCAGATCATATGGTAGATCCATGTTTAACATTTTGAGAATCTGCCCGACTGTGTTTTCAAAGTGGCTGTACCACTGTACATTCCCACCAGCACTGTGTGAAGGTCCCAATTTCTTCACATCCTTGCTGTTATGGGTTGAGTAGTGTCCCTCCAAAATTCATGTTGAAGTCCTAATCCCAAGTGCCTCATAATGTAAACTTATTTGGAATTAAGGTCATTGCAGATAGAATTAGTTAAGATGAGGTCATATTGGAGTAGGTCGGGCCCTTAATTTAGTATGACTGGTGTCCTTTATAAAAAGGGGAAATCTAGACACAGAGACCCACACTCAGAGAGAATACCATGTGAAATTGGAGTTATGCTGTCACAAGCCGAGGAACTACCAGAACCTGGGAGAGAGGCCTGGAACAGATTCACATCCCAGCACCTATGGAGGGAGCATGGCCCTACTGATACTTTGATCTCAGACTCTGGCCTCTTTTAAAAACAATATAACAGACTCAAAATGGAGTCACTTATGCTAAGCCCCATGTCACCAAATGGAGACTTAATTAGTTTTGGCTCTCCCAGGAATGGAATCTTAAACCAGTCAATCAGGAATCACTGATCAGCACTAGTTAGTTAATCTGCCTGATAGACTCCTGCCATGCATCCCTAAAGAAAAGTAACCTTGCAGTAACCAACCCGCCTTTTTGCTTAGAATAACATTCTCATT